CATCCCTTTAACTATGACCAAAATGAAGGCTTCTCTCTGTAAGTTCTTTCCCCAGTATCCTGGCCTGGTTCTAAAGAGTTGCTTTTTTCCCTTTTTTATTATTTATATATGTGTACACATGTGCATCAAACTACACATGTACATATGTTTTCAGATGTGTTGAAGCCAGAGGTCAATATCCCATCTTTTTTCTGTGTCATTTTCCACTGAACCTGGCACTCAGCAATTTGTCTCCATCCTCCAATGCAGATGCCACAGACATAGGCTGCTGAGTCTGGCTTTTTGGTGTGAGTGTTGGTGATCTGAGCCCACGTACACATTATTGTATGGCAAGCACTCACCAACCAAGCCCTCTCTCTAACACCCATCCCTTATTTTGTTATTCTTAAGTCATATTTTGCATCTATTCAGCTCTTGCAGGGACAATCTGAATGAACTAAGGGATGAAAATGTTTCCTCTGTAGGTTTGAGGCAGATTCTGAACAATCCTACAAGTTCATTCTTAATTTTCCTGACACTTAGGTCTGAACTTCATTTTTCTCCTGCTTTGAAACATCCACTTTCTGGGCACCATCCACAAGCAGTTTTCCTTTGTGTCATACCACAGAAAGGATACAGGCTGAAAACTGAGGTCTATGTTGTGGTCCTAAAAATGCCATTCATTCTAGCTCAGGGCCTTGATCCTCTCAGCACAGAGAAAGGGGGCAGAACAGAAGTTCATTATGTTAGATAAAAATGGACAAGCAAAATCAAATGAAGTCCTTGGCTTCAAGTGGGTAAAATCCAAGACTCATGTCAGTCTCAGGGACAGTAGTATGAATTGCATGACTTTGACACCATGTGTTAGAAACAATGCGGTTAGTTTGGCCGTATTGAGGTGGCTGGGGAGCAGGAGGATCTTCAAGGTCCTTAGGTCACTCAAAAGGGATTAATTTTTGTAGAATCTAAACCAGTTCTCACAAGAGTGACCCCAAGCCCTTGACTGCCCTACAACTGCTTCTCTAGTGGCCTGATCTGTCTCCTACTTTCTCTTCTGTCATGATGCCGATTTCTGTTGTGCTTTCACCAAAGGCCTAGCTAGTGGCTTCCCAGGTTATAACCTATGTCTTTTATATGCTATCCACACTCATTCATTTTATTATAGTAACAAAAGCAAGACTCACAGAGAAGATATGGATGAAAACGAACATCAGCATGGTAGGACCGAATAATTGCAAAGTAGAGACCACTTTGAGTAGAGATGGTTTTTAGCTAATGTTAAATTATATTGAAGGCAATATAGTGAATTTGTCTCCATTACTCATTGGGGAGGTTTTTTTTGCTTGTTTGTTTATTGAGGGTTTGTCTGCTAACACATATTATGGTTTTTGAAAAATCACTTTTATTTTCATCTAATCTGATGTTATATATAGGAGAGCATCATGGTGAAAACCACAGAAACAGCTGACCTGAACAAGGGAGAGCTCTTGGTCCCCAGACTGATAGCTGGGAAACCAGCATGGGACTGATCCAGACCGCATAAATGTGGGTGTCAGTGAAGAGACCTCGGAAATCTATGGGACCTTTTGTAGTAGATCAGTACTTATCCCTAGCATAGGAATGGATTTTGGTAGCCCATTCCACATAGATGAATACTCCCTGAGCCTAGACACAAAGGAGTGGGCCTAGGCCCTATCCCAAAGGATATGACAGACTCTGAAGACCCCCTATGGAAGGCCTCACCCTCCCTGGGGAGCAGAAAGGGTATGGGATAGGTAGGGTGTTAGTTGGGGGGAGGTAGGGGAGGAGGGGAGGCAGAGGGAACCAGGATTGATATGTAAAACAATCTTGTTTCTAATTCAAATAAAAAATAGAGAAAAAATAGGAGAGCATCAATTGTGATGATTAGTAGTTAGCTTCAATGAGAGAAAGTGATGTACAAGTGAAGAGCCTTTGGAAGTAGCCTTAAATTCTCTGCAGATCAGAGAGTGGGCACTTCAGGAATAACAGAGTTATGTGATTGTTTCTCCTCCTGCCCAAAGAGCATGTGGTTGGGAGGGGCTTACTTCCACTGCCCAGTCCACCAACCTGTCTGTCTTGTGGCTACTCTGGCTCCTTTGCTCTTCCTGTGTGCACATCTATCTGTTCATACGTACAGAACAGCACTCTTGTATTCTTAGGTCCTCAGCTGACATCACCCACATTCTTAGCACAGTGGCGGAACACTGAAAGCCACACTGCTGGGTACCAACCAGAAATAAAAACATCAACATACCTATCCTGTTGTAGAAAATGCTTGTGGCTAACAAGCCCCAAATAAACCTGTCCTATTCCATTTCTCTTCACCTATGTTGTGACAAGCCCTCGACTTTTGCTGCTGTGGAGGTTCACGGGAGTGTGGACTCTACAGTGCCTGAAGTTCTGTCAGTCAAAGAACGATGCTGCCTGTGAAGTATGTGTCTGAAATGATGGGACTTTCTGAAGAGACAAGTCTCAGCCCAGGGGAGCATAATCACAAAGGCCATATCTGTTAAGAGGATCAAATCCAGAATATATAACGATCTCTCAAACTTCAATAATTAGGAAAAAAAGCCTTCCCGTTTTTTAAAAATTGCACAAAATGTATGAAGTTATTTCACCAAAGACACATGAAAGGTGAATAACCCCAAGCACAGAGGCTCTCCATCAGCAGTCATGAGAGAATGCAAATTGAGACTTCACAGCGACTCTACTCTGTCTTACTAGAATCGCTAAAGTAAATAAATAAAAATACACAAAATAACAAGTCCTGGTAAAGACCCAGAAAACAGATTTTCACATCCTATTGCAAAATGACACACATGTAAACTGGTAGTTTCTTACAAATTATATACACATCTATCTTATAAGCCAGCCTCTCCAAGGTATTTATACAACTGAAATGAAAATTATATTCACACAAAGATCTGTACTCAAATGTTTAGAATGGGTTTATTTGCAATAGAGAAAAAACAATGTTCATCAACTATATAACAGATGAACATTATATTCATAAAATGGAACAGTACTCCATAGTGAAAAAGGTGACTGACTGAGTGACTTACTGGTAAAGGCAGCAGTGTGGGTGGACCCCAAGTGCAATGAACTTGCTGATCCTCTTTATATACTATTTTGGAAAAAGTGAGGCTAATACTATGACATGAAACTATTTGCTAGACTCATAGGACTGTATGTCAAGAAGATGAATCCTAGAGCATACAAGTTGTGCCTTAATATAGAATGGAAAGGGGAACACTAGGAAACTCTAGAGGAAAAGAAAAGGTTCTTTAAAATTCAGAGCAGAAAAATTCTAAGGTCACATCAAAATCAGCTAGAACCCTTCCCAGACACCAACTGCATTTTAAAATACTCCATTCTAATATCACATGAGATTAGGTAACCAATGAAAAAGAAAGACTCACCCCAACACAGCCTTCACTTGGGTCTACTCTCTGGTAAAATCTACCAGCCCCAGGGCACACCAGACTCAGCAGCTCCCCTCTCTCCCTGTCTGAGGTACTTACTATTTATTAAGGATTTGCATTGACACAGAGTATTCATACAGACAACTGGTCCAACATAAAAAAAGACACATGAGGAAAAAATTCACCCACAAATGATTCACCTAGGAATGCCTACAATATCAACTCTGTAACAGTCTGATTATCGTGAAGAACCAAAACTTGGTGGATACGAAGTTGTGAATTTTAAATCTCCATGGAAGGATAGATAGCCACTATTGGTCAATGGTCTTATTCCCTCCTATAAAGAGACCCTACAATGACTCTACGATGTCTTATTTGGAAATAACCCATCCTGGGTAAAGGCTGAAGGAAGGATCCTCATATTAACTCCCAAGAGCTCTGCTCCTGTATTCTTCAGGTTCTTCTACAGAAAGATGTGCATCCACACCCATTTCAGGTGGCTTCTGGGAGGATGACAACATTAGCAAGCAGCTACATTACCTGGCTAGCAATAGAAAGGTTTCTGAAGTACAGCAGGAACTTCAAAGATCCTGCTGGGCAAGAGACAGGAAATGCCTGAGACTGGCAGCAGAGAGATATACACAATCCCCTGGCTATCTTTCTGGGTTCAGAAACTCAAAGTGCTCTATCTAAGAAGGGGGTGGGGGGCGGGAGAGTCCTTTTCACATCAGTAGGAAAAGCCATGTTCCCAAGTCCAAACTTATTTTACTACTTTACATTTCCGCTCTCAAACTAACTCTTCTGGAAAATCACAGGTGAGGGACTATTCTGAATGACAAAGAAGTGGAAAGAAATGCTGCAAGTTGAGAATGTTTCCATTAGTAGGAAACCGCAAACAAGAGACACCAAAATAAACAAAGCACAAAACAGCCCAATGCTAAAGAGAAGGCTCAGTAGGTAAAGGTCTTACCATCAAATGTGAGGTCACAGTTCAGATCCCTAACACTCATATAGATGCTGAAAGGGCATGGAAGCCTCTCTGTAAACCCAGCATTTGGGAGGCAGAGATCTCAGGGCAAGCTTGTGAGCTAGATTACATTAATGGAGTTGGTGAGCTCCATGTCTAGCAAGCAATCCTGCCTCCATTCATGAAGTGGAGAACAATTGAGGAAGACATCTGACACAAACCTCTGGCTTCTATGCCCAAGAGCACATATGTTTACACATACTTGCACACATGTGAGTCCACACATGTGAACACACATACTTACATACATGTGTGCCACACACATAGGGGGGACAACAACAACAAAAATGTCCCACCACGCTGCTTTTTGTGCTTCACTAAATCCCTGCAAAAAAGGGGGCCATCAGAGGCTCTGTGTGGTACCTGATCTGTGGTTGAGGGCTGCTTCCGTCTTCAAATTATTATAGCAGCAAACTGAGCACGATGGGGAAAAATGGCCCAGGTGGAGCATGTCTAAAACTACACTGCAACTGTAACATCATCAGCCATGACACATGGACACTACTGAAGATGCAGCAACCCCACACAACGTGCAGACTTTGCTGAGATCACAGTCTAATTTTTGTGTCATCCTTTTGTGTGTCATCCTTTTTGCAGGGACCATGCTAATCTTCTCTGTATTGTTCCAATTTTAGTATATGTGCTGCCGAAGTGAGCACTTGAAGGGCTTTAAAACACCCCAGCAAAAAGCAAACAAACAGGAAGTAAATGTAGAAATTCTTGGTTTCTATTAAATGTGAATGGTGTGTTCATGGCGGTCATTTTGTTATCATCTCTATTTATACTAGAATATGTTCATAATACATGTTTTTTTAAAAAGCAACAAAATGGAGCCAGATGTAATGGGACACACCTACAATCTAGACTTTGGGGTCTAAGAGTGAAAGATCAAATTGGAGGCCAGCCTGGGCTAGATAATGATACTGAGAACAAATAAAAGAAGAAACCATTCATTCTTACATCCAAAGTCCCCCATTGTACTACTGTCCAGGGACTTATCTGGAGATCTGCACAATGATCGAGAGTGCCCATGCATTAGAAGTTGCCTGTTCTTATTTCATAGGGTGAGTGATGGAGAGGAAAAGTGCTGTAATGTGCACTGAAGGACAATCAGGTCAGCTTCAGCCCAAGACACTGATTAGCCCACGATGGACCACCATTAACCCAGACACTGGCCGGCTGTCTTGGGATTGTTCACAGAAAGTCCCCTGGGGAAATCCTGAGTGCCACCTTTCACTTTAGGGCCCAACTCACAGGGCTGCTAATCTAATCAGTGGATTGATGCTAAATTGTTACTGGGATACCAGAAGTTAATCTGTAACAAGCAGACACTCCAACAGGGGCATGCTGGAGTCACAAAGCCACTGGGTGTCATTAGAGTCTTGGTGAGAAGCTGGAACACCAAGCTCCTCAAATCAAACCAGACTCTAGTCACGCAAGTCTACAATCCGCCCAAGAACTGCAATTCTTAGGATTGTGGTTGATTCCATGAAGGAGCAGGCCCAGAAGTCTTCCAACTAGACCAGACCTAAGGCTTAGAGAAAAATGCTATGCTTATGAGTGTCGTGACGTTGGAAAGCTCTACTTCATGAACTCCTGTGTTCTAGTTTTCTCACCAACAAACAGAAGTCATTTGAAGAATCAGAATATACAACCCACAGGAATAGCTCACAAGGCTCTATCCCTGTCTGGGGGTTTGTACTCAGTTAATGGTTGGTAGGGTTGAGGGAGAAACATTTACTTCAGTGGTGGACCCGGTGCTTGTTCTCCTGTAAACCACCCTTCATTCACCCTCTGTAGGCAGCCCTAATAAAACTCACTGGGTCATTACAAAGCAGAGTTGGGAGGCATGGAAGTAGAAGAGGGACAAGTAGGGAAAAGGAAGGGGGTCAGTAGAAGAGTGGGAGACATCGGAGAATAAAGGGGGATGAATGTCATTGTATTACATTTTGTAACAATACCTACTATGTATAATTACTATGTATAGTAATAAAAATGAAAGACAAACAAAATCTCACATAATCTGTGTAAAGACTTAGAACCATGTAGGATACTTGGTCGACATAAGCCATAGGAAACTTGCTTGAATATCAGACATTAGTTGCAAACCAAAGAAGATGCTCCAAAAATTTAAGTCAGAAAGGATTTGCTAGCTGGGCATGATGGCACCCACCTGTAATCTCAGTCATGAGAGGAGGAGCAGAGGCTCAGGGCGAGGCTATGCCATATAGGAACAACCTGTCTCACCAAAGTTGGGAGGAAAAAGAATTTCCTGGAAAGCAGCTTCTATTGTGTTTTCAGTCAAGTCTGACGCCCAGTACAGAACAAATGGAGATGCCAGCCCACTTCCTACCATCAATGTGATTTGGGACATTTGCTCAACTTCTCTGAGCTGTGTTTTTTCTCAATTGTTAGATAGGGATAATATGACCTCCCCATGATGGTGATGAACATATTGGTATAAACTGAAGAACATGGCATAGTGATCCATTGTGTACATGAGAGTCTGATATGATGGTCTGAACTGTGTTGACTGGCCAGCCTCTAAACCTGCACTCTTGAGGGTCCAACCAAGTAGTTATGGTCTAAACTGACTAGTGCCCCGTGGTCAGTTCAAGGGGCAGCTGACCTGAGCTGAGAGAGAGACTCAACCTTGACCAGCCATGTATGTCTTAGAGAAATAAACACAAAATAGGGCTTTCATCTGTCTTATTGTCTACTTAAAAGTAGCTGGCCAATCTCTAGTTGTGAGGGATTAAAGTCAGGTGGGTCCAATTTTTTGACACTGTGACACAACGTTGTCATCTACAAAGTTCATGCTTAAGAACCATTCAGTTTAGCCGGGCATTGGTGGCGCATGTCTTTAATCCCAGCACGTGGGAGGCAGAGGCAGGTGGATCTCTGTGAGTTCGAGGCCAGCCTGGTCTCCAGAGCGAGTGCCAGGATAGGCTCCAAAGCTACACAGAGAGACCCTGTCTCGAAAAACCAAAAAAACACACACACACACACACACACACACACACGCAATCTCCTAACATTTTAGGTAAGCTCCTTGTTTTGGGCAATGTATTCTCAGGCTCACTTGGCCAGTGGACTATAGGTTGGACACACTTTATAAATCTTGTGGAAAGTACTACTGAATAATACCAAAAGAATAAAACAACAACAAAAAGAGTAAACTTAAAAAGCAAAGATTGCCTATGTTCTTTATAGCCAGAAGCCAGAAACAATCACTTCCCAAACCTTTGTGTTTCTTCTAAAGATTAATGTTACTTGCACATACTGCTCTATTAAGTCATAGTTGTATTATTACATAATTATATGCTCATTATAAATATATAGTTATTGGTTAACTAGTATTAGTGTGGCTTCCTGGCCACTTGAACCCCAGGATTCAGCACCCAGCACAAAATTATAAACCCAGATAAACTTTCTCACTTTTAAAAGCTGGAAAGTTTCAGGTGTCCATCATCTGCTTTTCACTAAGTATCAACTTCCCGGTATGTTAAATCTACACGCTCATTCGTAATGGCCGCACATCAATCCTATGTTGGCAAGGTATTGTATTTGTCTTTCTTCCTCCTGAGGTACTTGTTTCTAGTTCTTTCCTACTATAACACGGCATTGAACAGTTCATAAACACCACTGTCCAACTGTTTCTTTAGGTGGGGCATTGATGGATCAAGGTGCACTTGATTCTCAATGTTCTAATGGGGGTGGGGGAAGCAGGCCTTGGTGCGATGGGAGGTTAAGGGAGTAACTTTGGTTAATAGAAAACAGTATCTTACAGGTCCAGACAGACAAACAGTCTCTCTCTCTCACTTGTCTACCAGCAAGTCTGATTAGCTCATTGATGAGAACTAACCCTCCTGTGAAAGGGTGAAGGTCAAGCAGAAACAGAGCTTGGGGATCGGGGATTGGTAAAATGTTAGCTGTGTACGTATGAGGACCTGAGTTCTGTCCCTGAACCCATGATAAAAAACCCACTAATTGTACAAGCTTGGAATCCCAGAACTGGGGAGATGGAGACAGAAGGATTCCTGAGGCTTACTGACAAGACAATCTAGCCAAGTTGAAAATCTCCTTGTTTAATGAGAAATAAGGAGAGCAATGGGGGAAAACCTGATGTTAACTTCTAGCCTTCACTTGCATTGGCACACACACACACACACACACACACACACACACACAC